TTTGGGCTAAAAACCTTCCCTCCGTCCCCTTTAGCACCGGGTTACCATTTTTCACACAGCCTTTTTAAACAAATCCGCCATTTTTTATAAGCTCTCTCCTTCCAGACGCCCCACAACAACAACAATGGTGTAGCTGGACGGCTCTTGTGACTGACGCCCCTCACTCCACACACACCAACACAACCCGACACTTTACATATTTACACGAGGGACAACTCACCCCACGCCACAACAAACAGCTTAAGACGCTACACTTTCTACTATAACCTTGCCTATGATGCTACACTTCCTTGCTACTAACACTTCACTCCACCACTCACCACTAACACTCCACCACTCACCACTAACACTCCACCACTCACCACTAACACTCCACCACTCGCCACTAACACTCCACCACCCTCCTCACAACACCCACCATGACTAATGACCAGATCCAGGTAAATCATTCCGGAAAATGTTTTAATTAAGCTGGAGGTCAAGGTAGGGGGAAAACTCGACTCTCCAGCCCCAGGTCAGGTAAATCTCTTACCTGTGAACGCCCACCATCCCCTCCCCAACATTAGTTAATTATATCAAAAGGCATTATTATTATTATTACCTTCACCTCCGCCTGTTAACGGTACTAAGCCCAGCTCACCTCTGGCCACAATAATTAGTGACATCTAAGGAGTAATTCTACCCCCCCAGAAACATCCACCCTGAAATTATTATACTCGATCAGCGTGCGTCACCAACCACATCCTGTCAGTGTCGGAAGGTGATAACTCCAGAACGGATTCACGGATATTTTTTCCAGCTTGGCAGCAACATTTGGTCCTTCCGGTAACCTTCCCTACTATAGTTTTATATGAATCCCATAACAGCCATTAACCATTAAATTTGACGATTAGGTGGCCATTTGTCTGGCCGTAGTGACCCAGGCCAGAAGAAAAAAGAAGAGAAGAAAAAGAAGGTGGGGCTGGGCGGTGAAGGTTTAACACCACACCTTATGAACTGATGTCACCACCCAATATATTATTCTATGAGACAAGGGTATCACATAGTCTAACCTCAGGTGAACCCATACACACGTCCTGTGGGAGCACCAGAGTCAACTTGTGATTAATAAACAACTGCTTTAGAAATGTTAATAAATACTAAGACTAACGACTTTACACATAATTTAGAGAGAGAGTCATTTCGCCGTCGAGAATAGCTACAATCCCCATTACCAAATAACGTAACGTAACAACTGGTTAACACGCGGCAACAGTCAAGTGTCACGGGTTCATGGTGTGACGAGACTCATTCCCTCAGCTGGAGAGAGGAGTGAGAGGATTTTACAGATTGCCCACGAGGGGGCTAGTTTATTGGGCACCCCCTTACATCCTGTGCAAGGTGAAGCGCAGAAGCGTTTACAGCGTCCAACTGGGAAGCATGCGGAGTTGAGGTGAGAGGTGAGATAAGGTGAGGGGGGTCAGCGTGGGGATCAACGACATACCTCCACCAATAATCTGATCTTGGGCTCATCATCACAAGGGCCTCAGTGTTCAACCCCACCGCCCGAGAACAGTCACACCTCAGTGGCAACCGACACCCAATAACAAGTCTTTATTTCAGTGGCATCTAACACCCAATGAAGACATATTTCACGGATACCGATCACTAATAATCTCATTATTAATAAGTAAACAAAATACTGGCAATGGAAAGTAAAGCCAACATATTTCTTATTAACATTGAGGAGCGTTTTCAAAAACCAAAGACTACAGACCTAGAATGAGAAGGTAAAGTCGAGAAGTAAATATGTTATTAAATTCACACCAGGGAGTGTTACATTTGGTGGTGGAGAAAATTGAGCTCTAACAAGGCCACCACCAGACCAAGGTTGAAACATCAGAGAGGTGTTGCTGCCTCCCACACACCTTCACCTCTCAGTGACACAACCAATAATACGACTCCAATCCGTTCCCAAACTCCTGTGAAGTAATTACCCTACCTTCAACTAATGACTAACAAACTATGGGAAACCTGGATGTTAGACCTGAACAAGGGGAGTGAAGTTACACACGTGACTAAGACCTGAAGACGGAAGTAATGGTACAACCTGACAGTTAAGACCTAAAGAGGGGGAGAGTGAAGGAAGAAATGTCACCGAATACAACAGTTACCGGAGCTTAACAATGAACTGGTCACACTGAACCATGACACCTCCGCACCTAACAGTGAAGGAGGCGAAATTACCGTGGATGGAGAGAGAGGAGGCACACACACACCCTTCCATCCACCAAACAGCTACCAAGCACAAGAGGTAGTGGTGTGGTGCTTGTAAATACAAGAGATGCTTTATATCTAGTCGGGAAGACATGTACAACACCTGCACTCCTAACTGTACTGTGTGAAAGGTTCAGTCATGTAAATATAGCACCACTCAATGACATGCCAGCAAAAGGGTATATACATCTGTAACACACCTGCTCTTACAACACGGACTCTACATACCTCAAGGGATGAGTGTGAGGGGTTAAGAGGAAATAAGAGCTTGCCAGTCAACACGGCCAAGTCCCCCCCCCCCCTCCCAGTCTCAGCACAATGCAAGGGCTTCTCTCAGTGATGGAAAGGACACTGTTGAACTCAATGAAGAGCTTATTGTGGTATTTCTACAAACAAAACTAGCTTAGAATATATCTATTTGTTCAAATTAACTTGTTCATAATATCGGCAGCGTGCCTAGATGTACGTGCGAGAGAGAGAGAGAGAGAGAGAGGAGATATGTAACAAGGGTGGGATGGTGACACGGCCACAAGCAACACCCACCCCGCCACACTTGCCTCACCGCTGGCCATGCCTCAGGAGGGGCGAGGGGCGTGCTCCATAACGTGAAAAAACTCCTCTAGGGAGACACCCTCACCCGTCCACCGGCAGTGACTAGTCAAATGATCCTCAAACAGGCTACAGATTTTATCAGACCCCAACCCAACTAACAACAATGGAGGTACCAATTCTAATAGGCCCATATCCACGTGGTTAGGTTAGGCTAGGTTAGCTTAGCTTGGAGAACTGGGGCCCATTTGACCTATAAGCCCAGATGCAGAGCAGGTACAGTAGGTATTAAGAGGGTGGGGAGGAAACGAGACGAATGCCACACTACCCAAGATACGCCAACGACTGACAGCCATCACCAGTCTGAGAGGGCAAGATGACAAGAGTGCCGCACCATCCAACATCACCCACACTATTCACGAGGCCACACCATCTCACACTCACAAAGAGCCACATCAATTCACATTACCCATGAAGGACCACACTATCATACTAGTCAACATGAACCACACTATCCAGCAAGAGCCACACCATCACACTATCCAACAATGGCCACACCATCACAGTATGAAACAAGTGCCACACCATCACACTATCCAACAAGGGCCACACCACCAAACTATCCAACAAAGGCCACACCACACTATCTAACAAGGGCCACACCACACTATCCAACAATGGCCACACCATCATACTATACACAAGGGGCCACACCATCATACTATTCCACATGAGCCACACCAACTCTGAGTGCCTAACCTAACCAACTTTGAGTGCCTAACCCAACCTAACCAAGTTTGAGTGCCCAACCTAACCAACTTTGAGTGCCTAACCTAACCAACTTTGAGTGCCCAACCTAGCCAAGTTTGAGTGCCTAACCCAACCTAACTAACTTTCAGTGCCTAACCTAACCAACTTTGAGTGCCTAACCTAACCAACTTTGAGTGCCCAACCTTACCTAACCAACTTTCAGTGCCTAACCTAACCAACTTTGAGTGCCTAACCTAACCAACTTTGAGTGCCCAACCTAACCTAACCAACTGAGTGCCTAAACCTAACCAACTTTGAGTGCCCAACCTAACCTAACCAACTTTCAGAACCAACCTAAATCAACTTTGAGTGCCCACCTAACCAAACTTTGAGTGCCCTACCAACCAACTTTGAGTGCCTAACCCAACCTAACCAACTTTGAGTGCCTAACCTAACCAACTTTGAGTGCAACCTAACGAACTTTGAGTGCCCAACCAACCAAGTTTGAGTGCCCAACCTAACCAAGTGTGAGTGTCCAACCCAACCAAGTTTGAGGTCCAACCTAACCAACTTTGAATGCCCAACCTAATCCTAACCAACTTTGAGTGCCCAACCCAACAAGTTTGAGTGCCTTACCCAACTCAAGTTTGAGTGCCCAACCAAACCAACTTTGAGGGCCCAACTAACCAACTTTGAGTGCCTAACCAACTTGAGTGCCCAACCAACCAACTTTGAGTGCCTAACCAACTAAGTTTGAGCAATAACCAACTTTGAGGTCCTAACCAAGCTTGGTGCCTAACCAACCAACTTGAGGCCCAACCTAACCAACTTGAGTGCCTAACCAACTTTGAGGCCCAACTAACCAACTTTGAGTGCCCAACCCAACCAACTTTGAGTGCCCAACCAACCAACTTTGAGTGCCCAACCTAACCAACTTTGAGTGCCCAACCGAACCAACTTTGAGTGCCTAACCTAACCAAGTTTGAGTGCCCAACCTAACCAACTTTGAGTGCCCACCTAACCTAACCATTAAGACTTGGGCCCCGTCTCCGTACCCCATCATAATAGTTAGTTTATTTATTCGGTAGGTAGCCATCGGGGACTGAAATCACTAAACCAACCAAAGTGGAAATCAAACTATCCAAAGGAGAACTAAAATATACAAAGGGGTAAATAAAGCCATCCAAATAGGGCACCAAGTCATCCATCCAAATCCAGATAGGGTACTCAAGCTATCTAAGATAGGCACAAAACCACCAAATAAGACACAAATCCAAATAGGGTACCAAGCCATCCAAATAGGGAACCAAACCATCTAAATAAGGCACCAAACAATCCAAAAGGGAGAGCCAAAACAAACCATCCAAAGGGAGAGCCAAACCATCCAAAGGGGGAGAAGGGAAGGAGGGAGCACGCCACAGTAACAGCTGGAGCCACATATAATTACCTTGGATCTACTATTAAAGGGCAGCCATTGCGGGGCTTGCCACTGTCTCGCGTACAGCTAAAACACGAGAAATATATAACAGTAACAACAATTAATAATAACGATAATATCAAAATAACGAATACAAAACTAATGATAGTAACAAAAATAAGAAATATATAACAGTAACAACAATTAATAATAACGATAATATCAAAATAACGAATAAAAAACTAATGATAGTAACAAAAATAAGAAATATATAACAGTAACAACAATTAATAATAACGATATCAAAATAACGAATACAAAACTAATGATAGTAACAAAAATAAGAAATATGTAACAGTAACAACAATTAATAATAACGATAATATCAAAATAACGAATACAAAACTAATGATAGTAACAAAAATAAGAAATATATAACAGTAACAACAATTAATAATAACGATAATATCAAAATAACGAATACAAAACTAATGATAGTAACAAAAATAAGAAATATATAACAGTAACAACAATTAATAATAACGATAATATCAAAATAACGAATAAAAAACTAATGATAGTAACAAAAATAAGAAATATATAACAGTAACAACAATTAATAATAACGATAATATCAAAATAACGAAAAAAACTAATGATAGTAACAAAAATAAGAAATATATAACAGTAGCAATAATAAATAATAACGATATCAAAATAACGAACAAAAAAATATAGTACAAATAAAAATAACAAATAAAATTGAGAATATTAAACATTTTCAAATTCTGTGTTTACGTAATAGGAGGCAATACACTGTACACTGCCCTCGTCTACAATAAAGGTTAAAGTTGAGAGAGAGAGAGAGAGAGAGAGAGAGAGAGAGAGCTGTAGGTCTGGAAGTGGTGGACTGGGCTTGGCTAGGCTGGTCGGGTCGGGTCAATGACCTTGGCCCGCCCGTGTTACGTCACCTTCGGCTTAGTTACGACATCTTCAGTTTTAAGTCTCGTCCACTTCATCCAATTCACGCCATCTACAGATATATTACGTCCTGTCCTGTAAATTTGTCACCTTCAGTTACCAAGGAATAGGTGCGTGAAAAAAGAGTGGTCCTCGGAGTACATAACACCCATATGTGACCTCTGACCTTCAGCTGCGACCTTAACCCTTGACCTAGGAACTTCAATCTGGTGTTCCTCATATTAATTCAGTGACAAGTTTCATGGACACCCAGATAGCCACACAAACAGAAGACAACGCCACGCCATGATACGCCTACTTCAACAAACACACACACACACACACACACAAAATCAACCCATACCAGATACACATACAGTACATACCTGTTTACAAAGGATGTATACTAATTATCTTACAGAACTCACACACACAGGTATCATCTCTTAACAAGGTCTTTAAAAAGTTTTCTCATTATCCACAGTGACGATATCAGGTTTCCTGTGACCCCGCCAGATATCATGGGCAATGGATGTCTCGTAACTCTCAGTAATTCATTATTACTCAACCCAATAAAGTGTAATATCTCGAGTTTATACAATAATATATTCCATTTATTCCACCAAGATGAATATACTATTTTGTCAGCATAGGTAACTAGGTATGTTCGGGTGGGCTAATCCCCGTATAAAAAAAAATATCAAAATTCGAAACTACTCAAACAACTAGATATATACATCCTCTTAACACCAATTAGTGGACAAGTTTAACACAGTCTTCGTAAACCATGAACTGTAGCTACTTATACACATTATCAGAAATATCTTGACTGACGGATCCGATGAATTGATAGGGTTGTCAAAATCCTTCGTCCCGTTTTGTCATATTGTCTGACACAACTGGAAACACAATCTGCACCTACCCATTACGGTTATTGAACGTCTGGGTCAAGAGAAAAGTGGTATGTCGACCCCTGGAGAGAGAGAGAGAGAGAGAGAGAGAGAGAGAGAGAGAGAGACACACACACACACACATAGCTTTCCAAATAAAATTCAACTCTCATTTACTTACATTTAAATAAAAAGCCTATCCATATTGATCGCTGTCTACAATACTTTAGATAATTATTCTCTATTACCGTAAACATTAACAGCAACCAGAGCCGATAAACAGATGCCACACTCCACAAACGAAGGTACCGTTAAACATCCACTATAAATATACACTGTCACCAACCTCACATGACATGCGTGGCCGTCCAATCCAAATTACGAGGAGACCTTCCCAACACATACATTAACACTTCACACCTTAAGTCCAATATACAAAATCTCAGAGTGGAAAAAAATGACAGATAGACCACAATAATGTATGTATGTGCACGCTTAGGTCCAGGGTTCGATTCCCGACTAATGAGATGTTGTTTGTATATTGAAGTCCACGTGCTATGTGGACTGATGAGACAGTTTGTTTGTATGTATGTATGTGAAAAAAAAACTGCCTTAAAATGGTAAGTGAAGACCACAATCGCCAACCTTCAGCCCAGAGAATTAGACCATGATTTATGAAGAATTAGGGTCCTGTTCTAAGACCCCCCCCCCCTCACCACCAGATCCTAATATGCCTTAAGTGTCTCGACCCTAATGATCAGGTTAGATCTACGTACAGAACAGGTTTGATGAACTTGTCTGGCTTGGTCAAGTTGGGCTAGTTTAGGTGTTTGGATTGCTTGACTAAATTATGTTTGGTGTGACTAGGCTGGCTTAGTTAAGGCTGGTTAAATAATGATTGGTGGCTTGGTTAGATTGGCTTAGTTAAATCTGGCTAAATTACGTTTGGTTAGTTTAGATTAGCTTAAGCCGGAAATTATCATGTAAATAGATAAGTAATTACCATTGCAATAAACATAATTGCCTACTAGACATAATCCTGACAGCTCTGTCCTCTTGTTCAACCTTATTACTGTACAACCCATGTTGTACTGCTCCCCCATTATATTTATGTTTTTCAATTCCACTGTAATTTATGTATATATAAATAGAAAAATAAATAAACTAAAAAAAAATAAATAAATAAATAAAATTAATAAATATTGAAGTGATAACCGTGGTAACATGAGATGTTCTTATTACCACCATGCTATTGTACTATTCCAGATGATACTAAATGGTTACATAATACTTCCTTGAGATAAATGTACAGTAAGGTATATATCAGGTGCCTACAAGAGAGCTCAGGTTCTCATGGCTCAGCCATGTTAATATTGTTATTATTATCCACTCTGTAACTGTGTTTTTCTGGCTAAATAAACTGTTTCAATTCAAATCAAAGGTTAGGGTAGGGTTGATTAGGTGTTGACTGTTGTTTTATTATTATGTGATGTAGTCGTGGCCAGAATTAGGCTAGGATACGGACACATCTGGCAAGTTAGTAACGCTGTACCCATACCGGAACACTCAGCATGTAAACTTTGTGATAAACCTTTAAAGTATACACTTGAACACTATATTATTGAATGTGACACTGTCAAAGACTTCTGGCCACCTGACTTATTGTATCTTGAACTATGTAATTACTTCATTGAATCAGGTGTGCTTGAGGACATTCTTGCTGTTTATCCCAAATTTGCTGCTGGCCCACACTGATTAGTCTTCAATAACAATATGACTCCAATGTATGTGATCCACTGACCTATATATACTGCTAATGAATATGATGTATTTCCTTCTTTGTGTACGAACCTCTGTCCTGCATGGCAGTGAACAGTGACATTACCCACATGAATCTGACCTATATATAGTGTCAATGAATATGATGCATTGTTTGTGCACGAACCTCTGTCCTGTATGGCAGTGAAAAGTGACATTACCTACATGAATCTGACCGACGTATATGTATGTGTGCGTGTGTGTATATATATGTACATGCATATGTGTATGTATATATGTATATGTATGTATATGTGTGTGTGTTTACATATATGTATATGTACTGTCAATGAATATGATGCATCTCTTTGTGTATGAACCTCTGTCCTGCATGGCAGTGAACAGTGACATTACCCATATGAATCTGACCTCTATACATTTATAGTTGTTAATGAATATGATGTATTTCTTTGTGTATGAACTTCTGTCCTGCATGGCAGTGAGAAGTGATACCACCCTCAGTGTCAAGACCTGACTGAATTACTCAGAATAGGCAAACTGTACTACAAGCTCTGCCAATAAATTTGTTAAACTAAAATTGTTGTATTTATAGGCATACGGGAGTAGTGCGGCCCCTACCAATAGATAGGGAGGAGGGAGGGGAGGTTGTGTGTATTTATATTACCCGGCCAGTCAAGGTCACGGTCGCCCCAGTGCATATATTCTCTCTAATGCATTCTTACGGTGGTAAATTTATAGTACAGTACAGGACATAATTCGATATTTTCTCCTTTTTCTTTGTTGCTACTAATAAGTTCAGGCAAAAAACAAGACGATTTTCAAATATGACACTTTTGGCGCTTTTTACCCCTACCGAGTTATCGTGAGTTGAAAATCAGAAAACTACTCAACAAATGCTAAGCGGTGGCGAGAAGTGGCTGTCGTGTCGCGGATGTGCTACTGGCGAGTGGGAAGTTATAACCGACTGTTGCACGAGTTCTTCAAACAAGCTACAATTTTCTTCCTTCCACTTTTCTGGAGGAAGACGCCAGGTTCCCCTGAGGACGAGTTTTAAGGTTAGAAATGACTTGTGATACAGAAATAATTTGCGTTAATTGTGGCGGAGTCCGGAGCCCCCCGGTTGGGAAGTTAGGTATGTTTGGTTGGTTAGCATAACTTAATTTGTCATACAAGTTTGATCGCACCAACCAAAATCTACCTAACCTTACTTAACCTGGGGGCTGTGAGGTATAACTAGGTATTCTTAACAGTTATATATGGATTTGTTCACTATATATCAATATTAATCAAACATTCGTATGAGCCAATGAGCTGCAAGGTGGGCGGGGCTTCTTTGTCTCGCCGCCAGGAAAACACAACTACAGTAGTCAGCCAGTCAGACTTCTGTACCTTATGATTAAGGGAAAACAATATAGTTGTGGTAACATGTTGATAATAGATGAGTTTTTAATTTTGTTA